TTTCTCTGCCGATTTCCAATTAGGGTTTCGGTTGTGCCGGTTTGGGAGCCCGCAAGAGAATTCGGATGGATTCGGAGGACGAATTCGACATGCACGATGCTAACGACGACGAGGACGACAATGATGACCACTTCTACAGCGGCGGTGACGATGACGCCGCCGCCGCCGGATTGGACAGCGACGACGCCGACATCGCCGATTACGAGTTCATCGACAACGACTCCGATGATTCCGATGATGTCGTTTCCCATCGCCACCAGGTGGATGCTTTGGATAATCATCCTTGATTTTGGAAAAACAAATAAAGTTCTGCTTTTTTTTTTTTATTGATTGTTAATAATTGTGTAATGTTAATTTGGTGCATTTTGCTGGTTGGTTTGGTTTTAGCTGTATCGTGAATGTTAATTTGGAGTGGTTTCGATTATATTTGGATTAATCATGGAAGTATTCCAACGAGTAGTTAACTTGGTGCTTGATCAATTATTGGGTATCAGGCTTATTAATAGTTTGACTATGCTAATTTAGGTATAATTTAAGCTTTAAGCGCTCTTAAGCTGTTTCTTCGTCTTCCCCCCCCCCCCCCTCAGTTATGCTAACGTCGATTCTGCTTGATTTGATATTTGGATTAACCTGGGAAGTATTACCAATGAATAACAAGGTGCTAGATCAATTTTGATGTGTTTATGATTTTCGTTTTTTCGGGGTAGTCGTGGTATAGCATGACTTTTAAGGTTCTTCAAAAACATGGTTACAGTTCTTCTTCATCGTTTTTCAGTGATGTTTCAAAAATTTGATTCTCTCTGTTGCGGTAGTGTTTGGCAAATTGGCACAGTGATGGTTGCTGTTGAATTTGCCTGTTTTGCTTACGCAAATATATATATATATATATATATATTTGCAACATAATGCGATTTGTGTGTGGACTTTTTATTAGAACTTGAATATAGAACAGATCATTCATTGCAGACTTCAGTAGCAACTGCAGTCTGCACAATGGACGTTCTGACACTTAATGCCTCGTGTTTTGCTGAAGCATAGTGAATTGCCTGTGCATGGTTATAATACATTTTGTCTTATATATATATATATATTTATTTTTAACTTAATAAAGTCATTGTTGTAATATTATTGATTAATCGGGTTTCTTGTCACAGCAAAACTATACCATCTTGACCGAAGCGGATATTTGTCAGCGTCAAGAGGATGATATTATGAGGATTTCTACTGTGCTTTCTATTTCAAAGGTTGCGGCTAGCATATTGCTCCGCTACTATAACTGGTAAATGATGTAGCTGTTATGCTGTCGTTTTTTTTTTTTTTAATCTGATCAAAATCTACGTTATGTTTTTGCTTTTGATTTGTTAGGGTTGAGGTTATGGTAGATTGTTGTCTATATGGTTTAAGTAAGTCGTTATTCCTTTCTATTAACAGGAGTGTCAGTAAAGTGCATGATGAGTGGTTTGCCGATGAGGAAAAGGTTTGCAAGGCTGTTGGCTTTCTGGAAAAACCAGTTGTTGAATATCCAAATGCCACTGAAGTAAGTATTTTTCATATAGGACGTAGGTTATATTATTTGTATTCTGCTTTGCGTTAACTTGTTATTGGTGTTTTGGTGCTCTACAATAAAATGTATGTGAATTTCTAATTTCATATTCTTATTTTTTGACAGTTGACTTGTGGGATTTGTTTTGAAGCCTATCCTCGTGATAAGATTCATACTGCTGTTTGTGGTCATCCTTTCTGTGATACATGTTGGGGAGGTTTGGTCCGGAATATCTTTCCTATTAGTGTCCTGATGCTCTTATATTTCTGGATTAAATCTCGGAGTAAAAACCATTGTTTCCTCTAGAAGTATCAATACTACAGAAAATGTGCAAACTAGTGCAGATGATTGTTGTGGCATTGATTTTTCTTCTCTCTGTTAGTGCTAGTAATCTTTTCATAAGAGGATATTTAGCCATATATAAGTTTTACAACTGATTATGAATCTGTTGAATCTTGTTAGAAAACTGTTTTTAATGCTTTGGAACTTCAATGATGCAGCGCTAGTATGAGTGCATATTCTTTTGCATATTTTAATTTGATGCAAGGGGGAAAAGGGGAAAGAATCTCTGTCTACGTCTGTTAACGCGTAAAACAAAAGTATTACATATTGTATAAAAAGATGTTTACGAAACTTATGAAGCTGAATAGTTCAGAACAGGTTACGATACTAAATAAAAATTATGCACAAACACTTGTGAGCACAATGCCTAATATGAATTACGATTTATTCAGAACTGGTTATACATATTGTGTTCCAGTCATCTCGTTACTTCTTCCACTATATATTATTCCTATTTGGATGAACAGATGTAAATGAAGCTTAACGCCTAATAACTTAGAACTGGTTATTTTACTTTCTAAATAAAAAGGCGGATACAAAAAATACGAAGCATAACTTATAATATGAAGCTCAATTTAATTCATAACTGGTTATATATTTTATCTTCCAGTCATCTCATAACTTCTTTCACTGGATATCCAACAACCTGTCTCTTTCAATCTTATTAAAATTTTCTGGCTATAACTTGTAATTTCACTTACGATTTGAGGTTTCTGTCCTGTTTTGTTTTCTCTTCTAGGATATATAAGTACGGCCATTAATGATGGTCCTGGCTGTTTGATGTTGCGATGCCCTGATCCATCTTGTTCTGCTGCTATCGGTCAAGATATGATTTATAAACTGGCATCTGGTGAAGAGAGGGGGAAATATTCTCGTTACTTCATTAGATCTTATGTTGAAGACAACAGAAAGGTAATTAAATTTTGAACTTTAATGAGTTATTTATCTGTCAATTGGAAGTAACTCTGTTGCATCTTACCTCTCTTATATGTTTTCTTACCTGACGTGAAAAGGTATCCATTGAGGCCTTTCTAATTAGTTGAGTGCGGCATTGGAACCATTTCCAGTGGAGGTACTAATGTTCAAGCACATAGAGCTTGACCTAGTGAACCAGTACTTAGTAATTGTTGCAACTCCAACAAAAGCTTTATTTGTTAAGCATTAGTTGCAGAATTTGCCTAGTTTTGCTGATTAAAACTTAGAAGTCCTGTAGGAATTTTCTACAAGTTTTAAATTTTTTGGCCATTCTATCACTATAGTTCTTTCCAGAATGCCATACATTCTTGTTGCCTCATTTTTTTAAGCTTTGTTTTTGCCAAATATGTTACAGTGACTTGTGGGTTGCTTTTGCAGACAAAATGGTGTCCGGCGCCAGGCTGTGATTATGCTGTAGACTTTGTTGTTGGCAGTGGAAGTTTTGATGTTACTTGTCGGTGCTCATATAGCTTTTGCTGGAACGTGAGTCTCTTCTATTCTTTCATTTTTTTTTTCTTTGTTGTTTCTAACTCTAATGTATAAACATGTAAGACACTCAAGTCTCTTTCTATTGCTAGGAGATATGAAAGACCTCCAATTAGATAATTGGTTGTAAATGTCTGAAGAAACTTTTCTGACTTGAAAATTTGACCTTGCAGTGTACTGAGGAAGCGCACCGTCCAGTTGATTGTGGCACTGTTGCCAAATGGATTTTGAAGAATAGTGCTGAATCTGAAAACATGAATTGGTATGAGACAAGATCATTGTGTGTTTCGTTATTTCTTGTTATTAGTAAATCTGTATTTTAGGTTAAAATAAGTTCGCAAATTATGAGGCTCTGTTGAACATTGATGGTTTCTTTAGCGCCTGAAGGCTGGACTAAATTAGGCAACGCTGAAGAGCAATATTGGCTTTGTTTATAAAGCATTGCCTAGGACGAATACATCCAAACCCTTTTCCACCTGCATTGAAACCTAGAGCACCTGTTAACTTGGGACGTCGTTATTTATTTATTTATTTTTTAAAGAAACAAAACTATACTTATCAATAGAATAATAAAAGAATACAAAGACTGGAATACAATACAACTAGGGACCTCATTTAGATAGAGCTGCTGCGAGGACTAAGGATTACACCAAGATACCATAGTTTTAGGTGTAAAGTTTAATGAAGTATGATTTTGCGAATTAATTTTCTATATTGTATAACTTATTTCAAACATAGATGTGGATCAAACGATATGCAATATTTATCCTTCCATCCTACTCAAACGTAAAGGACGCCAATTAAGTGGCTCAAATTAGGGGTTATGGCCGAGACATGACAAAGGAAAAATCGTAAGGCCTGAATTGGAATATCAGTGGTGGATTGGATGAAGTGAAGCAATGAAGTAACATGTTAATTGTTTTTGGGGAGAATGGAAATTATGGATTGTTTTGAATTGTCACATGCATGCAAGAGATCTAGAATTGGAATATCAGTGGTGGATTGGATGAAGTGAAGCAATGAAGTAACATATTAATTGTTTTTGGGGAGAATGGAAATTATGGATTGTTTTGAATTGTCACATGCATGCAAGAGATCTAATTAGATTCTATATCATTTGTTGTGGCTTTACATGATATTTCACTGGACTCTTTTTTTTTTCTTTTGGCTACAAGTGCTATTAATTACTTATTGTCTTTGATATTTACAGGATATTGGCCAACTCAAAACCCTGTCCGAAATGCAAACGGCCTATTGAGAAAAACCAAGGGTGTATGCATATTACGTGCACTCCACCTTGTAAATTTGAATTTTGTTGGTAAGCTGCTATTTAACAGTACAAGTCGGTTGAGATTTCACATGTAACTAAATCTTGCATACTTTGTTTCTATATTCATATTATCATGCCAATCATTTAATTACTTATACTATAGAAATTTCCCCCATTATGATCTTCGTTTAGCAGTGATTTTCAAGCATATTTATCACATTTTTATATTTTTTTTTTCTTTCCCCTTCTTTTTGCACTTATATATCGCTTTTCTTTTTCCTCCCATACAGACATATTTGTGATTTTTGTGATTACTTGGTCTTTATGTAATTGAATTACTGCTTTCAGGCTTTGCCTTGGTGCTTGGTCGGACCATGGTGAAAGGACTGGTGGTTTTTATGCATGCAATCGTTATGAAACAGCAAAGCAAGAGGGAGTGGTACGTTCTATACATTGCATGTTTATTTTGTTTCTTAACATATCCTAAGGCTGCTTCTTTTAGCCGTGTGGGACTTGATTTTAATGACTGATACTTTACAGTATGATGAGGCGGAGAAAAGAAGAGAGATGGCCAAGAATTCTCTTGAGAGGTATACTCATTATTATGAAAGATGGGCGACCAACCAGTCGGTATGTACTAGGTTTTCATGGTTCTTGTATTCTGCCAGTATTTTATTCGTTGTCTGCAAGCTGGAACCTCCTAACAAGTCATCAGGGTCATATTACCTTGTTTGGTTATCTTATGTTGTACCTTTAAAGTGAATAGTCATCTGTGATGTCCGTGTTATATCTGTACTTGTGCTTTTTGTTTTGACACTTAATCAAACTGTGAAATATCTGTACATGGTTGATTTAATTGATGCATCTTATAACATGAATCGAAGCCTGAAATTTTGTTCGGCTATATTGCAGTCTAGACAGAAAGCGCTTGCAGATTTACAGCAAATGCAAAACGTGCATGTAAGTTGTCCATTTTACAGAATAATGGTAGTATAGTGATCCATATGATTATTAAATTGTAGATAACTTAATTGATGTGCTTGAAGGAGATAGGAGTGAAGTTCTTTTGTATCCCCTCTTAATATGACCACATTTATCTTGCGCAGTATAATCTCTTATTTGTTTTTTTAAGTTATTTTGAGTTTTAAAAATCCTTTTCACTATGTAGCTTGAGAAGCTGAGTGACATACAATGCCAACCCGAATCACAGCTGAAGTTCATAACGGAGGCCTGGCTTCAGGTACATTATTGTTTGACTTGCTTCACTCCTAGAACTGAAATACTGGCTTTACCTTACTTGGCAACTCTGTTTTCAGATAGTTGAATGCAGGCGAGTTCTGAAATGGACGTATGCATATGGATACTACTTACCAGAGCATGAACATGCCAAGAGACAGTTCTTTGAGTACTTGCAAGGTATGTAATTTCCTTCAGGTAGCAGCTATCTTTCATGATTTTATTTTTTCTTTGTGTTCATGTTTTATTTATTTAAACTATGGTCTCTCTATGCAGGTGAAGCTGAGTCTGGTTTGGAAAGACTTCATCAATGTGCAGAAAAGGAGCTACAAGTTTATCTCAATGCAGACGGCCAATCCAAAGATTTCAATGAGTTCCGCACAAAACTTGCTGGACTCACCAGGTTATTGTTAAACAAAAACTTTAGAACTATTTTCTCTCTCAATGATTTGACTGGATCAAAAGGCCTGTTTTCATTAAGTGTCAGATGGATCTTGAGTTGTTGTTGTTGTTACTATTATTATAGAAGCTGGATCTTGAGTACTAAGTAACTTCTTTTCTTTCCTGATGTGTTGTGGGTAAAATAGTTGGTAGCAGATAATTTTGGCTATTAATTTTTTCTTTTAAAATTTTACTCTTATGATGTTACTGTAGTTTATGTACCATGATGATCTGCCTTTCGAGCGGTCAAATTTTGTTGTACTTTCTTGATGGCAATTGTCACACCTAGTTTCGCTTTTGTGTTTTGCTTTGAGTCGCAGGAGGCAGCTAACATCTTTTCGAATTATCAACTTATTTCTTTCAATTTGATGATGACAGTGTGACCCGCAACTATTTTGAAAATTTAGTACGAGCTCTTGAGAATGGCCTCTCTGATGTGGACTCCCATGGTGCCTGTAGCAGGATGGCAAGCTCAAAGAGCTTGGGAGGTACAAGCAGTAAAGGGAGAAGTGGGAGAGGCAAGGCTTCAGCTTCCAGATCAAGCAGTTCCAGTAGAACTATTGACGACTCTGACCACTGGTCTTGCGAACATTGCACCTTTGCTAATTTCAAGTCGTCCACTGTCTGCCAGGCTTGTAATCATCGCCGATAAGTCTGTTTTCCTGCACACATTGACCACATTGGTTGGCCTTGCTTTTCGTCTTTGCTGGTTAATTGTGGTGGAGAACTACTCCTAGAGGGTTGTTGGAGGAGGAAAGTGGTTCGCATTCTTGCCCGTCTCCAAAGTTGTGCAGACAAAAAGAGAGCATTGTGGAGATATGCAGGTGAAAGGAAAGGAGAACCAGATTTTAGTCTGTAGTTCTTGTTATTATTGGAATATGAGCTTCTGTATATAGTTGGCGCTGTTTGTCCAACGCATTTGTGGCTGTCTAGATCCATGCAAAGGCAGTCGCCTTTATTTTAATTTGTCAATTGTTTAGCAACTGTTAAACTATAGCAAGCTTGGAGCATATTCAGGCGGATATAACTATATAAGAAATACAAACTATTTTGGGGGCAATAAGCTGAATCGGCCTCTGTATTAATACAATAAATTATGTACTAATATTTCTTTATTGCTCTGTGGTACTGGTATGCAAGAGGGTTTTTAGGGGGTGCCATTTTCTCTTGAACCTCGTGTCCAAATGTGTTTGTTAAATTTCTCCAAGTACAAATATTTTGCTTACCATGTGGTTAAATAGATCAATCTTTTACGGGTTGGTTTTATTAATTGGAATCCTTTTGATAAGAATTAATTAATAACTATTTATTCGTTCTCATCCGTATGCTTTCCAATTCAGTAAATGGTTTATGAACCTTTTCTTTTTATGAATGAGCACCCAAAAAAAAAAAAAGTATTACCAAACTGGTCCTATCTTGACCTGAAGTGGAACTGGATGTGATTGCTACGTCTGTGTACGTATCGGAGCATATCGGGTGTTCATAGAATCCAATCAACTAATCAAACTGACTGATTTAATTCAATTTAATCAATTTTTTAACATAAAAGTGGCTCATGTTGCATAATTTAAGGATATTTTGATAATCCTACATGCTCTTAAAAAATACTACAAATTATAAATTAAAACTTTCTAAGTAATTTTCTTGTAATTAATTAATTAGAAGAGTAAAATTAAAGGGTTACGTTTTTTGAAGATCGAGGGTAAAGTGTTACATAGGTCACCGGGAGACAAAGTGCTACATAAGTCATAATTTAAAGAAAATTTTTGTAATTAATTTGTATTCTTTTTTGCCGAACTTTTTATGTTTATCAATTTCTAAATTTATTTTCATTTCTTTAAGTTTTTATTGGATGTTTAATCAACTTTAAAATAATTTGGCGTTTATATATTTTTTAAATCTATGGATGTTAATTTTTGCTTTATTTTTTCAATTGTAGTATCTAAATTTTGTCAAAAAGATCTAATAAATTAGTTGAATAAGAACATATAAGATTAGAGAAAAAATGTACACAAAGCACAAGCAGAAAATCGATTGGTCCAATCTGATGCAAACTAATATTAATCAATAATTATATTGAATTAGATGATACTCTAGTAATTAGATTGGATTGGACATAATTTTTGAAAGCCGATATTTAATCGGATTAGTTGTTATATGACCAAAATAAGCTGGATTAGATTGGATGAACATCCCTTGAACATATTTTTCACTTTTTAACAACTATGGAAAGTTGCACGAGTAACTAAAAAATTATCCATTGCAAGTGGCAATCATCACAACTAATGGAATCTGAGTTTCATTTGTAAGATCCAGATGTGGATTTTATCTGTGCGACTTGCAGTGAAACTGAAACGTTCAACTTGTGATGAGAATCTCTACATGAAGCAGAAGGAATGCAAGGGAGAAATGAGAGAATGAACTACCATATCAAATGCCCATCAAATGATGCTACTCACTAGTCGCTGTCGGCGAATACAAAATAGCCAATAACAAAAAAAGATAGCATTTTACAAAAGTGGCCAGCGGTAAAAATAAAATATATTATGCATACAACAATACATCTTTTTTACACATCATTTTAGAAACAGCAATCATTACAAGCTCCATAAAATCCTCCCTTCTTTTAAACGGATCCTCACTGAAATACTTAAAAGCTGGACACTCTAGACACGCAACATTCACAAGTCCAAAACAATCGTATTCGAAGAAGCTTATTTACAATTGTTATTCTGAAGTAACTCCTTGATTAGAGAAAAGGACGAAAGGTATCCGCAAATTCACTGCTCATTTCCAACGCCTAAGATACACTGTGCTAGATGAGTCAGATATGGTTCTGTTTGGGAACTACTGCTAAGTATTGGCCCAAGTCTCTGAAGCTCCGTGTTGAATTCCTTCTCAAATTTGCTACAAGTTATGAGTGAGAGAGACACATTAGAAAGCCAGAGAAAAATGAAGCGGTTTATGGAAGCAAACATGCCTGTTTCTACAATTCTGAACTTACAGTATAGAATCTGTAACATTTGTATTGCTGGAACTTAGTTTTAGTGCATGAGATGGGCTCCGCGACTTCGATTGCTTGGTTTTTTCAGAAACATTTGAACCATCAGATGATTCCTCTAGGCTGGGGATGTCGATGGAAGATGATATCAACCACTGAGTTGCTGCTGCATACTGGAGGCAGAGCGATTTCAGCTTCTCCACCTTCTGCATTTAGAATCAATTACTAAGATGAACCTTAAAGCAACTAACATATTAGTTGTTGACTTCCTATGTCAAACAGTACCATTACTCTAACCATAAAGTATAGTTTCTAATTGCTTTTTTATTATCTGAAATTTATTCAACTCTAATAGACCCCAAGAGTCACTTTAGTTATTACGGTGAAAGTATTAAGGATGATCCACAAGTAACAATGACAATGGAATACCATGACTGAATACGTTTCCAACAATGAACGAATATGATTCCAAGTCAATGCCGGTAATTCAAATAATGAGAAAGCTAAACATCTGAAAAGGCCGGAAAGGTCACCTTCTGAATGGTTTTAAATTTGATGATAAAATACTGTTTAATATTGTCTCACAGATGAACTGCAATCAAACATAAATTACAGAACCCTTTCTGGGTGTGGCAGGAATTTGTTTCAAATCCTACGGCTGTGGATAGATTTCAATTCATTATGGGAGTTTTATTGAAAAATTAAGGAGCTAGCCGATAGGCCATCTCGTTGTCATGAATAGCTTCTGTTCTGCTGTCCTCTAGAAATCAACCATAAAAGCATATCCCAGTTTCTAGTTATGTCAAATTATCGACCAAGCAACCAGAACTAACCTTAAGTAATTCAGGCAAAAGCAGCAAACATTCTCTGAGACACTTGTCAAGGAAAAAGTCATGGTGCTGGATAACCTGCTTCACGGAGAACCTTGTAAGACAACGCAGACATACATGAAAGCAGAAGAGTATTATCTAGGAAAATCCTATACAATTACATCTACATTCCAAAAGCTAAAATACGTAAAAAGAGAGGAGACTTAAAGTGAAGAGTAGACCTCATCTATACTCTTTGCTGTTTGAAGCCTATTGTGCATCACGTGCCAATTCGGTTCAAGAACCTGAAGACAAGGAATACTTTATCAAAGGCTGCAAGCCAGTAAAATTCACAAACTTCTACATAAGATGAACTCCTATTTAAAGACGGATATAACATCGTTTATTTCCTGAATTCAAATGAATCCTTTAGCATGTAACACTTAATCAAAAGTAAGATACCAGAAACTAGCAGTTCATGCATGCCAATGGTCAGATTCAAATTTTGGGAAACTGATAGGACACGGGCTGCTGGTTTATAAGAGAAGGAAGAAGCGTGGGTGTGTGAGTGATGATGTAACTGAATGACGTTAGTTGTTAGGATGTAACTGCATTTAGTAAGTCAGTAGGTAAGGCCAGTCTATAAATAAGGAGGAGGTTGTGAAGTTAGGGAGGATCTAAGTGGAATCTCAGTGGAGAGTTGGTGATCTCTCGAATATCACCGGTATTGTAGTGTTGGTTCTTCGCTCGAATAAATCTCTGATTCATTTTCTTCTCTGTTTTTACCAAATTGTTGAGTGTTCCATCAGAAACCTTTCACTATTTTGAAGAGTCCAGAATAACATATAAATCCATGTTCTATCATGCTCTCGCTTCTTCGCCATGCATGTTTTTATGTTTTCTTACTAAATTCTTTATCAAAGGCTCTTGGAATGTACAAGTTAACCAGCAGAAATAAAAAATAACAAAGTAGAGACTAAATTTAAGTAATAAACAAGCTTGAATAGTACAGCTAACAGCATATTGAGCAATTTCAAGAGGGAGAATAAATGAATAAAAAGAGGAAAGATAAAGCGCACCTCAAATGTTAGATAGTGTAGTAGGCTGTTTATAAATTTAAGCATGCTGCGACAGAGCAATGATGATCTGGAGATGGCAGTTCCACGCATTTTAAGGGTACGAATTCCCTGCATATGTAATGTCAATAAACTAGAAGCGAGAAAAGCACAAGCATCAAGTGACCTTAAAAAGACACAATTGAAAGAGCTTCTAGCTCATACTTGATGTACTTGCCATGCCCCACAAAGCTGCCGATCCACATGTTTGCAGTGGAAAAGAAAGCGGAAAATCAACTGGTACTTAGCTAGGGCCTTTCTAGATATAACTATTGATAATGGCCATCGAACCTGAAAAAAGAAATGAAATACATCATTGACAGGCCATGCCATAGGTTGACATCCAAAGTAAGACATTTGCACGTTTGCAAGAGAGAAGGCACATTGACATGAGTTATACGTAGATATTATCCACATTCTACCCAAAAAACGCAGATTTTAAATAAATCCAGATATTATTGGAGAAGTAAATACTATCCCAGTTTGCCCTCCTAATGGGGATAAGGTCACAAATACAGCTTACAAAACCGTGGCTCAAACTATATATCACAAGCAAGAAGAGGGGAAAAACAAGGGAAGGACAATTTTAAATCATTGCTCTGATGAAAATTTATTAATGCAAAATCAACTTCATGATATGTTGCACTTATCCACAAATTTTTTTACTTTAAAAAAAATGTCTAGTAATACACTACATTCCCCACCTGCCGCTCGGCTATCTTTCAATAAAGTCATAATATATATATATATGAACAATAAATATGGGCATAACCACCAAGTAATGGCTTTTGCTGATTAAAATAGAGACAGAAAAAGAAAGTATATTACAAACAGACCTTGTAGCTCAAAGAAAATGTCTCAAGGCCAGTTACGTTCACTGGTTCCTCTAGATCATTACCACCAGGAACAGTTCTGCTGTTTTCAGAATCAAGCGTCCCAAGTCTTTTAAGCAAAGAAGATGTTTCCTAAAACAAAGAGATAATACATGAAGCTAATGAAATTATGGAAGTAAAACCATTTTCAAACAAGAGAGTCAGCCATTTACCACACAACACGTTAAGTCCTCATGAAAAGGATCGGCTGCAGCTGCTGTTGTACGCAAAGCAAGGTCTAGCAGAGACTTTAGCCACAAAGTCAATCATTCAAGCATCTTATTTACTTCATATCCTAAGGGACAGAAATTTTTAGTGAAAGACACCTGAAGGGAAAGGACCAAACCTGCAGCTTCGCCACAGAAATGTCATCGAGCTTTTTTGTAAGCTCATCCTTAGCTATATCCATAAAATGCACCAAGAAATCACCCTGAAACACATATCACCATTTAAGTATCTGGAAAATAAGAACAATAACACCATTACAACCATTAGAAAAATTAAACATAGGTAGGTTCCAGTTTGTTGATAACGCATCATAGTCTAGTTGATAAATATTCTCCAGTCTAGTGTTTATAGCATACCTGATCGAGCAGAAGGTAATGCTTTATAGATCGCAGCTTTCCCAAAAGATCATACTACAATGAAAACAGTGTAATGATCTTAGGAGACTAGTCAATGATATAAAGCAAAGTGCCACTAAGATAATACCGTATGACCAACAATTTCCAGGGAAATCTAGAAAACGATAAAGATAAACGGGAAAGCATTTAAGGAAATCAATTGAACCTCACCTTTTCTTTGATGAGATTTAGAAGCTCACCACTGGCAAAGTCATAAGCAGATTTTATACACTCAAGATAGTGATGGTTTGTGCCAAAGCTCATTAATTTTGAATTTTCTGATACTGGGACCTATCAATAAGCATGAAGTCCAATTAATAATATAAACTGATGTAGCTACATGTAAGCAAAGCAACCACCCTTTTTATTTACTTCTCCCCCAACAAAGCTGCAATGAATACAAAATGGGACCTGAACGTGATGCCCACATTCTCTCATGACGTTGAGATATTTTCCTGTCATCAAAATTGTCCCAGCTATATTTGCAAGAAAGCTAGGTATTCCATCCTTAAGACTGTAACGCTGCCTCCAATACTTGGCATCATAATCTTGAGTCAGGCTCTCCTGTAAGATCCTAAAACTGTAAGCACCATAACACAATTTGATGTACTCAATTTGGTTGAAAACAAATTACCTTTTGAAGAGTTTTGTTCTCAGCAATGAAAAATTCACCGTAAGGATCATCGATTACTCCATCATAGACCCACCTGAAAATTGTTGTTTTTCCATACCAGCAACAAAATCAATCATTATGAGGTGTAAAATATTATACAATAGATGACAGTATGAACGCAAAACATGGTAATTCCACTGAACAATATGATTTTGTCAAACTAATATCCTAAGCGACAAAGGAAAAGAAAAACATGGTCCAAAAGTTCAATCCCAGGGAAATATATAATTAAAAATAAAAATCTTGTATAGATATATGAAATGATAATCCTTTTAAGCCAAATCGCCAAACAATGTACTTTCCAGAAACAACATGTAAGGACATCAGATTGGGTCCATTCAGTGTATTCAAACTTCACTATGAAAGTAAAAGAACACACTTCTAAACATTTGAGAGAATTTGTAAAGTGCAGAAGAAATGTTAATTTTACACTTGTTAAATGTACCTCTCTAATATGCTAAGGTATGCATTGCTTGCACATTGCGCCATCTTTTCTAGCAACGACCTCACAGCATTATCACCAGCCATGGCCTTAGCCTGAATATTGGAAGCTAAAATCAGTTAGAAGAAGCAATAGAAAGATTAAGAAAAAAATGCTTTAAAAGTAAAATCTGGGGAAACATAGCTACTACCAAAGGCGGAGAAACATTAAATTTTACAAAAACTCATACAGAATTTAACCTGGCTCTGCAACAGGTTAAGAACTTCAGAGCCTACAAAATTGTTAGCAGAAGCCTTCTGTATGACAATAGATAACGCTTGCATCGACCCCATCATTGGCTGAAACACACAATATAGGATCCCTCAGTAAACAACCTATGAATAAAACAAGAAGTTTAAGACAAGCTTAAACCTGACAGTAGAACCACAAGCCTTGTAAGGAGAGTCTTCCAAGTCGAAACTGGTGTTCGAGTTGTGCCACCATGGCCTGGTAATCCTAGAATCGAAAACAATACAAGGCACCCATTCATTGAGGTGAGAAAGTAACTAAAATCAGCAAATCACTAAATCAGAAAAGCTCATCTATGTAACAACCAATTAGATTTACCAACCAAAGCATCAGACTAAAATTAAAAATTCCATGGGAAGATTGAATTTTGACTCCTTTTTTTTTCCTGATTATATTTGATGTAAAAGAAACAATTAAATAACAGAAACAACAAGGCACAACCAACATTGGTTGTTGCTAATAACTAAGGAAATCGACATCTTAAGTTTCAGACAGCTAGAGAGCAGTAAAGCACAGCAATTTTCTTACTGCATATTACATAAAAAAAAAACCTAACAACGAAAGACAGAATGCAAAATGACTTGCAAGGAGAGAAAACCTACTAGAAGCAGTGCCCTTAGCGCAGCAGCAAAGGCATGGTTGACTAAGCCATTACTGAACTGTGACCTTGATTCAACAAATTGGTTGATCAGCATGAAGCTCTCACACAACGGAAATATCCTCTTTGATAATTCCTGAAAAAGTATGTTGTCATCAGCTTAAACAATAGAAACTCTAAACTCAGTTTTCAAGTAAAGAATTAAAAATCCAAATAGCTCCTCTCCTCTATATGTATGTTCATCCATATTATCTTCTCTACTTATTTTAGTGATATTATCCAACAATGCCATCGGCTCTCAAATCCTTGGAATGCTCGATACCCACTTAACTATTTCAAAATAAAAGCACAGTTGAGTAGTTAACCCATTTTTCAGCTCGTAAAGCTTGCTTTGATGGCAGCCACATCGTCCAACAATTGCAACAAAATCCACATTCCACATTTAAAAAAAAAACAAAACAAAAAAAAAAAAAAAACAATTCCACATAAAAAAACATTTCCAAAGTCCAGCAACTCAAAAATTCGACTAAACCTTACCTGAAGTGCTAAATCCATGGATGCATCAACCTGGAAGCTAAACTTATCCTCCTTTCCACGAACCCTTTTAATCGAAATGTATCGTCCTTCAATTCCGACCAGTACGGACAACAAGTCATCAATGACAATAAGTTCCTACACAACCGAATATAAGCAATAAAAAAAAAGAAGCAAATTTTATTTCTTTTTCAGATTACAAAACTGGAAATTCCCAAAACTATTGAAATTTCAAATTTATCTTAACTAGGAAATCGAAACGCCCACGGAGAATACTTACCTGAACCGCAGCATCGTAACAACCTATAGCCGTCGTCGATCCCAGACTACAACGAATTGAAAAAAAAATAATTAATTAATTAATGTTCGTATTTCCTAAAGTCAATTTTTCCTCTTTTCTGTTATTCAAAACATTATTCTGGAAAAAAATTCTTCCTTGACGAATCCTAGAAAAGAAAAGCGCAGAATTGATCTGATAAATAACCTAAGAGAATCAACGGAAAGGCCCTTCGCTTCGGCGAAACGCGACGTCGTTTTGGTATCCTGAATCAAAACCGAATCCACATTCTCAGAACTCGCAATGCAAGGAAATCGACAAGGAAATGTGAGAAGCAGTAGAAGAGTAAAGAAAGAAAGGAAAACAGAAAAGCGAAATTGAGACCTGGTGAAATTGGCCGGTGAGGAAAGGCCTCTCGGAGTTCCAACGAGGAGTCGAAGGACAGGATATCGTCGACGAAGAATTCTCCATCGGAGATAAAGCAACGCAGTCGAATCGATCGATGAGAACTGCTGAACTGAGACCACGCCCTAATTTTCCTGCTCGTTTTCTTTTCCTTTCTTTTCTGACGAAACAAACAAAAGAATGAAAAGAGCAAAAAAAGAGCGAAAATGAAATTGGCTTTTTGAATTTTTGAAATTTTTCTGGGTTTATGGACATTTGCTTGACGAAGATACGATACGCACCGTACTGCTTATAGTACTTTTGAGAAAATGGACATTTTTTAGGATTAGGATTAAACGTTTAATTAAGGCCTGTTTATTTTATTAATTTAAATTTTTAATTTTAAGTTTTTACAGTAAAATTTTTTTAGAAAATATCACATTTAACTTTTTATGTTACGGTGAAAAACTTTTAAAAAACATCACATCTCAACTCGAATTGAAAACTCGAATCTGCGAAATGAACGAGGCTGGTAGATATTTTTTAGCCTGAAGTCGTATTATCCAAAGTTTTTTTTTTCCGAAAATTTCGTATAATTCAAAGTAAAAGTATTGCAGTTTTTATTATTTTAGGATTAGGATTATTTTATATATGTGTGTGTGTATAAAAATATATTAGGAGTAGGATATAAGTTCTGAATAGGATCAAGTTTATTTTAGTATCCTAGTCCTAGGCTTAGTAGTACCTAGTATTGCGATTGCTTCCCTGGCTTGAGCTTGGCCGCCAAAGGCCGTCTCAATTTTCCTTTTTCATTTAATTCTTTTTGTTTTTTCAGGTTGGAAATTATGGAAAGTTAATGTTTTTTTTTATATTAGGGGGGAAAACGGCACAGATTCGGTAGTTCAAAAAAGGGAGTTTTGGTAAAACAACACCTAAATTCTTGAACTATCGAATCTGCGTCAGTTTCTTCGTAATTGATTCTTCTTCCAAATTAGTGTATACTAGCAAGATTTATTTACTTTCTCTATCTTTGTAAAATATTTTTCCCTTCATTTGTCTGCTTTGTTTTACTGTTTTGTAGGTGGATCCTCTCAAATATATCTACAAGGAAGCACTGCCGTTATTTTTTTTAAAAGGTTTTTTTTTTTTCCATTAATTCTTCTTAAACAAGGAAAGAAAGTTGACAAGTGATGTAAGGTTTAGATTTCTACTATTTAACAAAAATTAAGGACTCGTTTAAAAGATATACTCAAACTATGATTCTTGATTCTAAATTTAAAATTTAAATTTTTTATGAGAAAAAAACACTGTAACAGAATTATTAATTTAAATTTAAATATATAAAATAAACAGACCCTAGAGACATATCTCTAATCGTAAATTCATACCTGACTCTAACTTGAGGTATAGAGTTCAAACCATCAAATCCACTCTTCAAGATTGGAGAAAAGTAAGACTGTTTTTTCAAAACGAGAATAAAGACAAACATTACAAGTTTTTGAGAGCTTTCACTGCAGTGAACTTGGTGGTTAAACTCTACAGCGGTGACAATACTGTAGGGAAGGTTGCATCTTGTTAGAATCAAACAAAAAGCAGAATCTTACCCGTTAGGGTATTTACTCGTATACAAAATTCTCCCAAGTTTTTTTTTTTTTAGTAACAAATAAAATGCCACTATCATCTTTGTAAATACACATCACTCGGTCTACCACAAGGGAGCTTGTAACAATTCTTGTATTAGATGATTGATGAATTGAAGCAACGATTGCTCAAAATATGTCAGTTGTTTTGCTATTATTGTAAGCATCAAAACTTGCTAAAACTGTAATCCGGCGAGGAGGGAGAGAGAGAGAGAGAGGTATAAATGGTCAAAAAGTTGCCCTCTCTTATGTCGATTATAAACTTCTGGTTTTGTAGACAGCAAAAGCCAAAAGCAGAGGGATTGCGAAACTATATACTGGACAGTGGAGAATCGGATTCATTTCATAAGCTTTCACAAGTGCCCTGCAATTCTATAACAAAAAAATAACAAAGCCAAAGTTAGATACACTGAAACCATTTAGAAATAAATGCAAATATGACCGCACTTTGTTTCTTACACTATAACCGTAATATAGGTAGGAGTGCAAAATCCTACCACATTTTGATGCTATGTTGTAATAAAAGATCTATAGGCAATATTCACGTAAGCATTTTGCTAAGTGCAATGGGAAGATTCAACAACCATGTTTATATTTTCATCAAAAAATTGACCAAAGGGTAAAACTAAGAAGCTTAACACCATGTGTTGCATAAGTCCTACTGAAACTTCTGAGAAGATGATGGGTATCTAAAAAAATTAAAAAAATAATAATTATTATTATTATTATACATGGTGCTGTTAAGTCTTAATTGATTCTTGCACAAGATGTACCCCATAGATTGACCTCAGTGCAAGAGCTAGATTAGTTGGTGAAAATCTTACCATAAAGTGCTTCCAACAGATTGCCAAGCAAACCAACAAAAGAACTTTCCGAATCCACCGCATTGCAATACAAGAATTTGATATTTCCTCACGGTTATTATCATCTTCTTTCTTCCCTGTAACTGACAGAAAATGGTCCCAATAGATACTCTTTTCAGCAGCCAGAAAGCCAGTGACCAAAATAGAAGGCAATACCGCATAGAAAAGATGGGGAATAACAACCACCATTATATCTGGGAATCCAACATATTCATGCTTTTCCCTTTCATTGAAAGATCCGACTGCCCAACCCATGTAAGTCATGTACCCCCTATTCTCGCCATTGGTGAAAACTTTTCCAATAAACCATGGGAATGACATAAGGTAAACTAAGTATCCCAGCAAACCAAACCATACTATAGGAACCTTGCAAAATTCCTGCAGAATCCATCCTATACAATTTTTTAGGCTCTTGTGAGCAACAAAATCCTTATAAGTGAACCGCCTATTTGAGAAAATCAACAAAGCTTTCGCAATAATAAGAATGGAGAGCATAAAATATAAAGCAGACCACAATATGGGGTAATAAAGGGCTGCCCATTGACAACCCATGACTTTAAACTCCGTCCACGTCCATGAGACCTTCGTATTAAGACCATTGATGGAAAATGGCCTTAGATCAGTCAAAGTTGACCTTCTCATGACATCAATTGCTTCTATCTGCAACCAATATCTATCAGGAGCTGGGTCATCAAAGGCTCCATAATTCCATGGAGCAACATAAAGATCCCCCCTAGAGTTGTTTTCTTCAATCTTGTGCATTGGGGTCTCCATGACAAGATTGAGATTTCCGGGACTCAAATCGTAGATCCTAGCTATAACTGAGACGATAGGAGAAACAGAAAACACCAAAGCTCTAACTGTCTCGTAAGAAGAAGGAACCATGACTTGGCATTCATATTTGTGATGCGATGAAGATGTTGACATGAAGCGTGAATCCAAAGGAAACGTGGGCAAGATAATAGTTTTTTTGCCTCCCAACTTTAAGTCAATATCTAGATAAGAAACTTGCCCTCTATCAATGGCCAAAATTCGCATGGCTCTACTCTTCCTCCAGTCACCCATCTCCCACTCCCAGAATTCTTTGATCGGTGCAACTCCAGTTGAACAATTTACAATATCACCGTAATTCACTCCATGTGGATTAAACTGGAAAAACTTCTGTAGGAAGGTAACATGATGATCCGATTGGTGATGATGTTTCAAATTTTTACCAAACCTTGTATGGAGATGCCCACATAGGTAAGCTGATAAGGAATGATTGAGGAATACATCTTTGAGGCTCTTCCCAGAAGATGATGATGCTGAGAATGAAAGAGGAAAATGCCCAAAGGAAATCTTGATTATGGGTTTTGTTGATTGAGAATCCCATTGAGAAAGCTCCATGTCTAGTTCAGCTAATAGCTGATCTGTTGGGTGTCCGAAAAGATTAGTCGGACCTCGTAAACCAACAGTCATTGTACTGTCAATTCCAACGAAGAGATGTTTTTGCTCAGCAGTCTGGGAGATGGAGAGAAAACATGTAAAGTTGAGGAAGTATTGAAAACAATTATAACATATATCATAATCACTTTGCAGTGTTATATAACACATACGTAAATGCATCTACTTCTACAAAACCATAGCTAACTCAGTGGAATATTTAAGGTTCTAAATAATCCTTCTCCAAAATGAAAAGGACTCGGCCTACCACACCGTCTTGTGGTAAGTTAGAATTGAACTCAATTGCTGATCTCAAAATTGAAGCCAAATATTTCGTAACAAGTTGAACCATCTTACTAACAGTAAAACTCAATCTACTCAACATCACAATTACAGATAAACCAGCTCTGGAAGGATAACTCACCTGAAGGGTGACGCTGTTGACATTTTTATTTCTTCCCAACTGCCCATTGATGCTATACTTTGAAAAGAAATCGATAGAACCACCAACCACTGGTACGCCAAAGTTATCGTGATTCCCTCTGAGGTCAAAAAAGATGCTTTTGTCAAGTCCACTCCTTTTCACAACATCTTCCATCACATTCTGGTATTCCAGCCACTCGTCTTCGTTTATCTTCATTGTCAATAAATCCTTGCTCTTCCCATCTAGAAGCGATATGAACAACATGAAGTTATAGAATGCTGGATAAACACGTCAGTTCCATTTAGGAAACAAAAATGGTATTCAACCTCCTAGGATTGAATAAGGGTGCTCTTTTCGAAATAAGCAGACACTAAAGTATAATGATATAAAAGCAACATGGCTATGATTTTTACACAAAAAGTTGGTAGTTTTATTTACCATAATAGCATAATACAATTCAAGATAAATGCTTACATTAACAAACAAGGCTCTCACATCTGGCTTTGCCAATAAATCACTCAACCTTTTTGATCAGTTGACACTTGATAAGCATATAAAAGGCACTTTTTTTTTTTAAGAATTAAGAATAAAAAGGGGTTAAAACTTGCCATACTTCCATCTATTGCACAACAAGCAACTTAACTTGTCATATTTTCACACTCACTCGTCATATTTTCACTCTCCGCCATAAGGCGTAGAGCGCAAATCCCCACCCCAAATTTTTTTTTTTTTTAAAAAAAGTAGCCTTTCTTGATGAATTAAAAAGTCAACCAACTTCTAGATACAATAACAAGACGTAAGATTTACCATAAGTTAACACTAACAATCCCAAACATGAAGCAATTATGAAAAAATTGGATAAACCCAACAAACCATTATTAAGAATACCATATAATTCTTTGAATAAATCATCCCCAACAAAAGGGAAAAAAAAGTAAAAGAAGTCAGAGAGAGACCTGTGAGATCACCGGTGATGAGAACGAGAGAAGGGTTGATGAAAGAAAGAGCGGGGCCCACAAACTCCTTAAAGTGGAGAGCTCTGTCGGGGTGGTGGACGCTGAAATGGAGATCGGAGAGCTGAACCACCCACACCACAGAATCTGGGCCTCCTTTGACATCGATGATTCTCCTGCTGTTCCTGTTGTTGGGTTTTGAAGAAGATGATGATTTATCTTCTTCTCCTCGTACTTGCTGATCAGGGGTTGTTGCATTTGCATGGGAAAGCGGAACAAGAAGGACTAGTATCAGAGCCCATGTTTCCAATTTTCCCATCTCTCTCTCTCTCTCTCTCTCTAACTACCTCTCTCTCTCTCAAACTCTCTCTCTCTCTCTCTCTCTCACTCTCTCTCTCAAACTGCCCTTTTTTCCCAATCGACTGCTCTGCTCTTTTTACATGGAAAAAAAAAGATGATCTCTCTCTCCCTCTCCTCTCTCCTCTCTCTCTCTCTCTCTCTCTCAAACTGCCCTTTTTTTCCCAATCGACTGCTCTGCTCTTTTTACATGGAAAAAAAAAAAGATGGAAATGGATCGTCGTCGGTAGAATTTGCCTTTCTTTTCCTCTTTTCTAATCGGGAGAAACGACCCAAAGTTATTACGGCTTAGTTTGGTATTATTTTTTTCTCTTAAAATCAGTTTTTATTCGTAGCATAAAGTTAATTTTAGTATTTAGTAAATCTTCTTAAAAATACTTTTTGAAAATTTTTTTAAGAATGTATAGTTAAAATTAAAAACAGTCTAAAGATAACTTTAACTTTTAAATTATGTGAAAATCAACATAGAACAATTAATCAAACTTTTATAATATCAATAATATCCCTAATAAAATTTAAAATTTACAATCTTTTTAAATTAAAATTTAAACTCGTAATATAATATGATATAATATACTATAATAGTTATATTGTAACAAATAATATCATAATTATATTAATAACTATAATATTATTATTTTATCATATAATATGATATTATAATTATATTATAATTATTTTAATAATATAATAATATTATTATTATT